ACACACACACACACACATACACACATACACACACATATGCACACACATATTTATCCATAAATGACCTGATTTGGAGACATCCCTCATCATATCAACAAAAATTGCCTTCATCATTTAATTTCGGGAATTAATCGTACTTTATATTGTTTTACCCTTATTTATTCTATTTAAAATTTAACCTTTTTTTTTTTATGGCTTCTTCTATCTTAACTTCCTATCGTGATCAGACCAGTAACGAATTGAAACGGAATGTAATTATGCAAGAATTAGGCAATGGATATTAATCAGGATAAAAATATCAAAAAATATATTCATTTGTGAACATATTTTTGGTAATGTGTAAACTAACATTGAAGGATTGCTTAGATATCAGATATGAATTTGGCACAAACCGAAGAAGTCAAGAAGATAGATCATATTATCTTAGGCTTATTAGATTAAGATAGATCATATTATTCTAGGCTTAATAGATTTTTTTTTCTTTGAAAAAGAACAGTAATTTAAATGGTTTTCCGTTTTGTAGTGCAAATAAATGCATTCACAAAATATATTTCATCTGATTGACAAATGTTCAAAACGATTCGATCAGATTCCGGATAGTCACATGTTCTATTGTAGTTGACCAGTAAGCTGGAAGCTATTGAATTATGATAGCTATTTTTAAAATAGTTCTAGTTGTAGGTCAGTGAATTTCAAAATTAAGACAAATGCTATTGAAGAACGAAGAAAGCAAATATAATCTCTCATTGATTCCTTCCCTTTCTTATTTACATCATTTGATATTTTTTCTTATTCAAATGCTTGTAAATTCTCAAAAACTATCCACCATTTGCAGTAAAAATCTCTGATTTGTACTTAATTTATTTACAACGCAGGTAGGATTGAATTAAGTTCTTTGGGATAAAGTAAGAGAGAATAAGTATTTGTAGGCTCAAAAATTGTATAATTTTAAACCTTAAATTCAAAGAAGAATTAGAACATATGTACGGAAATCGTAAATATGATTGTTAACTTTTTCAATTCTTAAAATTACTCAAAATGCTTCGATTTTAAATTTCAATTAAAACTACTGATATCCAACTCTTAGATTCACAATTCACTGAGTAGACCGCTTTTTTTCAGGCTTCCACTGAAAAAGTTTACTGCTTCCTTCCGTCTCCGCGGTCCCTGAGAAACACCGGAATTCCTGCAGATCAAATTGACAGCAAATTTAAAACCAACCACTTCCACTCGAAATTACAATCTGTTGCAGCTCTAAGAGAATTGTGCAGTGCACTGAAGAACATTAGGTAGTGAATGACCTCGTAGTGATTGACCTCTTATCTTTTACAGCGTCCTAAACCTATCTGCTAGTGCTAACAGTTCCCTCCAAAAGATCAATATCAGTGCTTTGTTCTTATTGACGTAAAAGACAAACATCTAAATTGTCTTCTTAATTATGTAGAAAATTACTTTTCTGCTGTTACGAGTTATTATCATTAGTAGTGCATATCTTTATTAGGAACAAAGGACAGATCATTCTTTTTACTTTTTGCAAAAATTCAGAACTTCAATTTCAAATCTAAAAATGTCAATTGATTTTTTTATTTGCTATATTTTTGAGACGGCAATTAAGTGTTCATGTTGCTTATTATCATTCAATTTATTTTTCAGGCAATATTTTAATAAATAAAATTAAGCGCTGGATAGTTCAATTGGTTGTGAGATCACTGTATATCATTCACTAATACTATGGGAGACGTCAATCTCGATTCCACAGGTATCCACTGAATTTTTTGTCTTTGATCTAGCGAATATAAGTAAAAAATAAATTTACAAAAAGATAGAATGCTTAGTTTTATAGTTTTTAACAGATTAGTAATGTGATATGATACTGAGGAATGTTATGTTAGATTCTAGAGTTAGGAAAATTGCAACTATATTACAATATGAATATTGAACTGATTTGAAATCTCCAACTTTTAAGCAACGGTGTTCAGTTTATTGTTTGTCTATAAAGTCCATTCGTTTTTTGGAGAACTGTGGTGCAACTTATTTATTTGAATGATTTTCGGTTTTCTGTTACAGAGGTGAGATGTGAGTTGCAAACATCTACGGGTCACAATTCACCTGTTTGTTCAGCGCAGAGTTCACCATATTCTTCCAATATTAGTGAATCAGAAATTGATATTTCATCATTATCACGGCATTCATCGTAAGTTTTTCTGATAGGACAAAAAAACGTTAAATTTCCAATGTTTTCGAACAAAATTTTTGTATTTCATGATGTATGTACGCTTAAATATTTTATTCATTTATCTACACATTAATGCTGATTTCAGATGCTCATCATTAAATCAGCAAAATGCGCTATCATTGCCACCAGTGACAACGAATGTCATATCTTCAAATCTACTTTTAAATGGAGGGTGTCGAAGTATCTCAAGAACTTACAATAACGGACGGGTAGAACAAGATGGTACAGTACGTAATCATCTGTCTTGCGCTCCTGATAGTGCAAGTGATGAAGATATGACTGCAGATGATAGTAGCAATAACAGGTATACATTAAATTAAGGCATTTAAGTTCAATTGCGGAAAGCACTTAAAATTTTTTGCTATAGAAGAATTTTTTTAAGTTTTGAACTTGAAATCATTGATATTTTGATTAAAAATATATTACTGAATATATGAAAATATGCATTTTTTTCCTTGGCTAGCTTTGGTGCGCATTTTCGTTTTGAACGACAAAACACTGTTGAGCAAAGTGGTATTAGATTGCGTTCACTCAATGGTGTTACTGGAAATGGAAATGAAACGGAACGAAAAACTTCGCTACCACGCACTGTGAGCGTCTTATTAATCACAAAAGGAGTACAAGTTGAAAATGCATCTTTGCATTATGAGAATTATCAGAAAATTGTGCCGAGTTATTGTCAATATTAGCTAAAAATTATTGTACAAATAATATTTGGCATACTGAAAATAAATCGCGTAAACTACTACACTTTTGATGTTGCGCATATTATTATTTTTTTTTTGCAAAAGTTTTGAAGGAGACTTTTTCTTTTTTTCATAACTAACGAAATCAATTTTTGCAGTTTACACCATCGCCCACCGTTTCGGGACGATCATCACCAGCATGTCATCCGGTACCTTCGCATTCACGTGTTGCAAATATACGTCGAGAAAGTAATTGTTCAATTGAAAGCGAGCTTGCCCACGAAAGGCTGGTGCAGTTCGCCCAACAGGTGGAAGAGATATTAGATCATTGAACGAATGCTGATTTCGTTATTAATTTGTAACTTTTAAAATTTTATTTGGCATTCCATATTTCTTCCAATTTTTTGTTCAGGTGTCTTTGGGATTCGACGATTTCAGTATTGGAAGTAGTGCAGAGCGAAAAAGAACACATTCTCTTTCGGAACCGATTTCTGTTTTAACGAATGCATTCATCCCGCACAGTTGTTCACCATCGCCGACACGATCAGTTGATATACAGAAGGTTGTTTCGTTTAAAAACTTTAGATATGGACAAAAAATTTTGTTGAATGAAGCAAGAGAGGGGAAGTATGTATCATAAAAACCCGAGTAAACTCAGTAGTTGCTTTATTTCATTTCAAACAAAGATTCCAAAGTCGGACAGTATTCACATTTTTCATATTAGTTTTTATTAGAATGACCATATGGAATTAACTGCAATTACTAAGCAACAATAATATGGAAATTGTCGTTTAATAGTTGGAATCATTTTAGTGTTCTCACAGAATGAGTTTTGAAGTTTTTACAAATATTTATATTTTATATTGGCAAGCATACAAATCAAAATCCTCTTCAGCAGTGTTATTCACCCTCAACGCAACAAGTTGTTCGTAACAACATCACTTATTCGCCAAGTCCGAGTCCAACACCCAGTCCAACACGGCATACAATGCGGTATGCACATTGATTCCATTCGAAAAAATTGATGTGAAGAATATTATATGTTTTGTTTCTATTCTTCTGACAACCACATTGTGATAATATGTTCGACTATAACAATGCTTTGTAATTTTGTTTATTATTTCTAGAAGTCTGAGTCCTATAGCCGTTCGTCAAGTGATAAAACGTCGATATACCAGTTCGGCTGGTGGCGAATCGGATTCTGATCAACGTGCAACACGGTTTTTTTTTTCTCTTGTCTTTATTCAAATAACAAATTACGGGACATCTGGAAAGAGCGAGGTGTTAGAAATTGCATTGCGGAAACTAAGCTGAAAGATTGATTATTTAAGGATTTACAGGATAGCGAAACGACTTTGTCAGCAATCTCGCATTATAAGTCGTGGATGTGTTTCTCCACTTGCATTGGAAAATTCGACATGTTCTTCTGAATCGGCGATGTAAGCAATCATTTATAATTTATTGAAATATATTTCTAAGATACATTAAGCTTTTGTTAACCTTAACAAGGGTTCACTGTACTGTAGCTGGGTTTTAATTCTAATTATTCTATTCGGTTTTTAAAAAGTTATTCAAAACTGATTGATCCTGCAACAGAAGATCAGTGAATTGCTTGGCTTCTCTTTAAAGAAAGAAATATACAGAATTTACATTGTAAGTGAATATTGTTTGTGATGATTATAGCAATTTATTTGAAGTAAAAATAAATACTTTTGCGATAAATATAGCAAATGATTTGAAGTAAATCTCCGGAATTGGCGAATCCGTTTTTCTTTCCTTTTCCCCCTCGTCTTTTGGTTGATCCAGCAATCGAAGTTAAAATGCCCCCTCCTCCGATGGAAGTAGATGACGATGACGACTCAGTGAATGAACAAAGAACAGGTTCAGAGGTACTGCTAACTTTAATTAAAATATTTTTAATCCCCATAAATTGTTTTCTATGGATTTTAAGTGCTAGATTAGAGAATTTTTTTTAATTTTTTCATTTTTTATAACATTTCGTGGATTGAACCATTTTAATTTTTTGAGGAATTAAATGGAGAAAGCAAAGCTGCACAGATGAAAAAAAGCGAGTGATTGTTTGCTGAAATTAATGAAATCGGTTGTACACAAATGCACGTGTTGCAAATTTCTTTTATTTCTTTTATTTTCTGCTTCTTGTTTGCTCATATTTTTTAGTGGGTGCTTTTCTGCCGTATTATTCTAATTTTCATTTATATTCGATAATTTTCAATCACTTTTATTATATTAAGTTTTCTCTTTTTTTTTGGGGTTGCTGTCTTTATTTCAATTTTGTACGTGTAATATCAAAACTGAAACAAATTTTCATCTTCACCTGCACTTCTCTTTCCAGATTTCATTTCTATGTCATTCCAGAACTTCTCAGTTCTTGCCTGCAATTTTATTGTCGTACAACTCGAAGAAAGTTATATGAGTTTTTATGAATTTGCTCAAAAATTTGTTGGTTTTATATTTGTACTTTATATTCTATGGGATGATTATCTATTGTATTTTTTTGTACAGCACTGGAATTCTTGTAACAAGTCGCTGTCACTATTGGAATGCCTTTTCTTGTCTTTCTGATGAATTTTTTAGTGGGAGAGCGCATAAAAAAAAGGAAAGCTGATTTTAGATTAGAATACGTTGATATTGACTAAAAACTGAAGATGAAAAATGTGCGAAACATTAGAACACTAAAAATACTTTGAAATAGCCCAGAATGCTTTTTTTTTCAGAATTTTCGGCTTTTCAATCAACATAATTTATAATATTTTATCGATATTGTAATAATATAAGCTTTAACAGCTTAATGATGTCTTTTGATGCATTCAATAATTAATTGCTGTGTGCTATTGTTTATTCAAAGGCCCGGATGCCTGAGAACCAAAAAATTCATTTAAAATTGTCCATCTTCAATTATGGCAGTTCTGTTACATACTTGTATTATCATAGTAGTGAATAAATTAGAATATTTCAAGAGAATATTTTTGGTCTTTACTGTGAACTGTTCACGGTGTGGTCATTCTTTTCGTCTTCTGTAAACTTTTCCGGTTTTTTCATCACATTTACTAAAGGCAACTCTTTTTATCGGATCTACTAAGTATGATCATTTTAGATTCTTTTGGTTTGAAATTGTATAAACATAGCCAGTTGTTTGTTGAGGTACGTTTAAGTCACAGCTTAATATACTTTAGTAACTTCTTGTACGAGAATCTCATCTGTTTAAATTTGATCGGTTTAGTCTTTATTAACAAATAAGAAAGAAAGTCGTTTTTTTATTGATGAAAATGTTTGAAGTGAAATGTAAAGTCCCTTTTTTCAGCAAATTATTGAAAATTACCAGTAACCATTCCGCATCATCAATACATTTTTTCGTAAGTACGATAAACTTTCGCCATTTTCTTTCTTCTATTCCTTTTTCAGCACAACATTTCTGCTATTAATAACAGTTGAATAGCACTGTAGGAACTTTTATTTTGAAGGTTTCCTTCCATTCGGTTGAATTTTATGTAAAGTTTAGAGTCGTAGAAGAAAAAAAAAGTTGAAAACAATTGAAAAAAAATCTATCTGTGATGTGATTTGATAAGTGTTGAGATTTATAAAGAGATAGTAACTTTGAAAGAAAAAGGATGTAAATGTTAGACTGAAGAACTATCCTTAATGTAGAAGTGTCAGCTATCTTAACGTAATGCTGAGTACATTGCGTTACCTTATTAAACTGAAATTACAAAAATCTTTATATATGTTTGTCTATTGAGAAAAGGAGTAGTCTTCAAGAAAGAAATCTTTTTTTTTTCTATTATACAGATTTTTTTGTATTGATTTTAATTATGTAAACTTATATTTTTTTCAGTCTATTTTTTATTTCGAATTTTTCATTTGACGAATGCAGTTTTTGGCATATTTACTACTGGTACTGATGGCGAGTGTTGTTTCGGCTAAGGTAAGATTTATTTTCTTAGTGATTAGAGAAGTTTGAAAGCCCATCTTTCTCACTGTATGGTTTAAATAATTTAAGGTAATACTGAGATTGTAAACGTTTCAACAAAAGATCTACAATCTCAATATTGCCATTCATAAGTGTGATTGTGGACTGATCTACGTGCAAGTCATTTCATCGAATGACTAAGCTGTTCTGATAATTCTTATTGGTTAGGAAAAATTTTGAGTTGCATATTTCAAATGCACTGTTCCATCATTACTCATTGAAATGAAATTGGATTAGGAAGGAATAATTGCTGGCGGTGACCATGCGTTGAATAGCTCTGGTACTACAACAAAAGTTCGGCAATTGCAGTTACCCGAGTTCACAGATCCTGTTATTATTGTTGGTGGTGGTTTGGCTGGTCTCTCTGCTGCACTTCAGGCAATACACGAAGGCGCAAACGTTATTCTTGTGGAAGGTGAAAAGGATGTGGGTGGTAATAGCCAAAAGGTAGTTTATTAGAATATAATAATGGTAATGTACTACAGCACTGTTTTCAGAACATATTTGGAACAAAAAGTGCGAAAAATCAAATTCCGAGAGCTTTTGTTTATATATGTATATATATTGGGTATATTGGCCAATTATGTACATGTTGTATAAAGTAATTGTACAGGATAACGGACATTTCACATCTCATTAAGCTGTAGTTTCTTGTAATCCCACTAACTATGATGATTCTGATTTTCTGTTCTGTGCATAAATGATAACATCTCAAAAGTCTTAACGCTGCTGATACTGTTTTTATATTAGCATTATTCTACCAACTGTTGCATTTAAGATGTAGTTCTCCAGTTCAGTTTTGAGTCCTGTATTTTCATTGAAAAAATCTTCAGAAGAATGTTTTTCATTAAAAAATTTTCATAGGCATCAAGCGGAGTAGCAGCTTGTAATACGGAAGCACAACGTGTTAGGCAAATAAATGATTCAGTAGAATTGTTTTATTCCGATACGATGTCAGCTGGAGATCACGAAAATGATCATATATTAGTTGATCAATTAGTAAGCCTGATTATGAAATTTTTTTTTTTGGTTTTTCTCCATTTTTCTTTTATTTTAGTTGGAATGAAATGAAAAAAAATCAAACTAGTTAGTTTATGGTCGTATTTAATGTAATTCTATGCACTGTAATGCTTCATTCTCTTCCGATTTGGATTTTTCAGATCTTTTATTGTGACTTACATACCTTAGAGAACCTTTAGAGAATGTTTTAAACATTAACCTCTGCTATGATATTACAGGTACGTCATTCATCCTCTGCTATACAATTCCTCATTGATCATGGGGTTGACTTATCTGACATAAATCTTTGTGGTGGACATTCAGTAAAGAGAGTACATTGGTGAGGCAATTATAAATTTTTTTTTTCAACAAATTATTTAGAATCACTTTTTTTGGTGCTTTTAAAAATTTCTTTCAGCATTCCAGTTTAATTTTCCATCCTTTTCCAATTTTTCACGTTTCTATTTTCACTATATATAAATTTTGGATATACGTTGCAATGATTCAGGTGATTGTTAAAATTGCATAATTTTAGGATACCACAACCGAAAGAAGGCAGACCAGTAGCAGTAGGCTTCAGTATTATCAAAGCGCTAAAGGAAAAACTTCGTATGCATGAAAAAGACCATCCAGAAAAGGTAGAACTTTGTAAATATCGTACTTTAGGTGATGATATGAAAATAGGGAAGATATAGTTGGACAAATTATTTTTGGTCTTAGTTAATGAAATATAATGCAGCTAGAAATAGTAAAAATGCTCAAATTTAAAAATATTTTAGGTGCGCATACTACTGGGAACCGAAGTAGTTGGGTTGGTTACATGGAACGATTTTGTTACCGGTGTGCGTGTTAGGAATGGCAGTCAAATTGGTAATGTTTATCATTCGAATTAAAAATTTTTTTCTTTCAGCTATTCCACTGAAATGTTAATTGGATTCAAATGTTCAAAGAGTGGTTCATGTAAGCAATTAGCGAGCTGACATCTTTGCAATTGCTTTGATTAATGGAGCGCTGCAGTAAAAAGCAGTTGATGAGTTATGATTAACTAATCAATCCAAACTATCAATAGTTTAGTAATAATTAATGGAACAGTCCTAAAATTGCAATGCAAATTCACTGATCAAGCATGATAAGCTTTGTAAATTATCATACTTTTGATAAAAACATGAAAATAGAAAATGTGGATAAGCTAGGTTTTCTATCAAATCCTGGAATATCAAAGAAAGAATTATTATGATTTTACTTTATAGTGGCACTAGACTTCTATTTATTTTTTAACAATAATTTCGTGATAAAGTTAATTCCAACTTTTTTTAACATATTGTAAAGTTAAAAAAATTGTTTATTTTTAGTTAATTAAACGGAAGTTCAGTAGCATACTAAATTAACAGAATTGTTTGATGGCTCACACTGTAAGTTGTTATTAAGAGCTTGATGTATCGATATGAAATCATCATATTTCTGAGCAAAATCAGTATGATAAATGAGGAAGTGATGAAAAGTTTTGAACTGTAACACTTACCGGGTAGTCAGAAGCGAGAACGCCGAAGGAACGAAGTACATCGTCGGTCACAAACTTGCTGCTCGTTTCGCAGTCTATTAGAGAATTTCGCATAACATAAGGTTTTTTGTTCCTTCTGTTGGATGGAAATGAAATTTTCTCCATCATTCGTTGAATATTAAAGTTTCGCTTATTTTTAGAATGATTTGTGTTTTGCTTATTTCTGCTGCTTGTTATCATCATTTCTTTCATTCTTTGTATTTCTTTCCATCGTCGACCACAACCAGGTGCTAATGATGGATGCATGAAGCCATTACCAGAAAGTCTAGATTTTACAGTAATAGAGATTATATTCTTTATTATAATAATAATTATTATTCATTAATGCAGTAGCTCTACCAAAGTTTATCTGATTTTTGCAGAATGACTTATTTATTTGCTTACTTGACTGATCTGGTCGGTCCTGGTAATTGTTGAGTGTTACGTCGAAAGTATGCCGATCTTATTATTTTACGCAATTGTGTGCTATTATTGTTTGTGGTGTTATAATTTTTTTTGCGCCAATATTGCTGACTTGGAAATATATCCTTTGTGATAAGCTTTAGAAAAAAAATATGGATGATTAAAAAAAAGATAGGTCAAATTTTAATAATTGCTACTCACTCCATAAACTGTGATATATCGATAGTGAGATAATATTAATTTCGTTGAGAAAAAAAAAGCATTACTTTGAAAATTTTACGATCATCATGATCCATGAAAATAGTAAGTGGTGGTCGTAGATGGGTATGATGAGCTCGTCGATGCAAATGATACATGTTGCCGTCACTTCGATATAGGCATATCACATTGCTTCGAAAACTGTAACTGACAGTACCCTCACTGATATGAAGTTGTACAGCATTCGGGAGTAGTTCACTCTGTAATATACTGTCTATGATTAGAATAATAATTTTGCTGCATTATGACTGATTATTTGATTTCATTGTTTATTTTTAGTTAATCTATAATAGAGAGCATCAGAAGAAGAGACTCAAGATTCATTAGAAATGAAATATTCACAATTCGTTGAAGTGTTATTTTGAAGACTGATGAAGCTTCCACAATAGCAACAGCTAATTTTCCCTTAACATTTATATTTAGAACCATTTCTCGAGTAAGCATTTCTGTGTTAATATTTTTGTTCATTTTCTCCTCAGATATCCTACTTTCATCTTCTTTGATTATCCTTCGACAATCACTAAAATGACGTGTTAATTTAACTTTTTTTCTCCCTGAAAGGAATAATGAAATACTGATCAGAATTTGAAGGTAGTTTGACAGGTTGATAAAGCTTAATTTAATAGTGACAAATTGCAATTCATTATTTTAGAAAAAATAAGCTAATTCATAAACATTTGCAACGGATTTACATCTTTATGTATGCTATTTAAAAATAACTTTAATAATATATTTGCCAGTTTGACAGCAAATCTGTCCACTTGGTTTCGTGGTACTTTGTAATAAAAATAAGCTGCGATAAATGCTACTGCTTCTTCGATTTCTCGATACATAGTTTTTTTTAGTGACCTGAATTTTTTATTTTATTAACTTTGTTTTCCGAATAAAAATCTCAGCATAATTGTAACAGTTTGTCAAAATGCTGTTGTCCAATCTTATTATGGCCTCTTATAACATAGAACTCAACAGAACGAAATTGATTGTAAATGAACCAACTTGCAATACTGGAAATCCTCTGTTAACTAGTTTATTTATATTACTTTCGTAAGGAAAATCTAATGTATGCAGATTTTCAGATGAAATATCTGGGAAAGCAGTTGTTTTGGCCACTGGTGGTTTCAGTTGCGATCATTCCAATGAAAGCTCTCTGTTGCAAGAATTCGCACCGGAGAAAATTAACTTTCCTACAACTAACGGTCCATGGGCCAGGGGAAGTGGGGTTAAAATGGCTCGAGCTATGGGTGCAGCTTTGGTAGGCATGCAAAATGTACAGGTAAGATGGAAAGTTTGAATAGTTATATCCGAAACATTTACAACGTTCACAATAGCTATCTAATGAATAATGGTTATTGTGTCAGCGTTGATTTACGTACGTGCTAGAATAATATTATGAGAGAAATGGGGAGAGAGAGAGAGAGAAAGGGAATTATTTTCTCTACTATCTTTCTTATAGCTAAACCTGTACTCTTATTGACAGAATCATATTCTTCACTTTTTTTTTGCAACAGTGATTTTTCCAATAAATTTATTATAAAGTTTGTGATCTTCTAAACTAGACATATTTTTATAGTAATTTAAATATAAATGGTTAACAAACTATGAATAGATATTAAGCTCGACAACTTTTAACTTTTTTGTAGTTTAATAAATATGCTTAATAATTATGCTATGTATGCAATTATGAATAAAATTTAGATTCATCCTACAGCATTTGTGGACCTGAAAGATCCAGCAGCAACAACTAAATTTCTTGCCGCGGAAGCTCTCAGAGGAAAGGGTGCCATTTTGGTAATTTTTGATTCATCAGAAAATTGATCATAGATGATTGAGTATTTTCGGATTATCAGAAAATTAATGTATTCAACGGCTTATTTTTTAGTTTAAAAAGTTTTGGAAAATTGTAGTTAAACGATAAGGGAGAACGATTTGTAAATGAGTTGGAGCGCCGAGATCATGTAACTGATAAAATCTTGAAATTCTGTGCGAAAAACGAAGAAGCTGGTGGCGCTCATATTGCTTTCATGCTTATGGATGATCAAGCAGTAAATGACTTTGGCCGCGCTTCATTTAATTTCTATGCCAAAATTAAAGGTTTCTTCAAAGTAAGAGCATGCACTTTGATTATATTTTAGTTATTAACATTTCTCACTTTTGTCAGTGATTTTTGAGCTATTCAGCAGTAGTAATTGCCGTTTGTCAGAGACACCATGGATTATTTTATATAGCCTTCACTTCCTATTTTTGATATGTCTTCTGTGTTTGATCGAATTTTTATAAACTTTGTGCCTTGGAAATTAGTGGAAAAGTTCTTTCAATTTTAGCAATTCGACACTTTAGAAGAAGCAGCGAATTACATGAAAGTAGAATCATCCAAACTAAAAGCAACCTTAGATGAATACAATGAACATGCTCATTCAACTTTGTCTAAGGTAACAGTTCGTCTCTTAGATTTTGAACTGAATTGAACTTTTATTAGAAATTCCAAATGCAAGTCAGCAACATACATTTAGGATATTTATTTCAGGATGATAAATTCGGAAAGAAGATTTTCCCGATTGCTTTGGAGCATTCACCTTATTATGTTGCCGTTATCACTCCAGCTATTCATTACACAATGGGAGGGGTAAAAATTGATAAAAATGTAATTTCTCTTTTTACATTTTATTTTACTTAAAGAAAGTGTCCTGGATTAGAATCTTCCTTTTGTTTAAATAATATCAAAACAACTAGTCTGAAATCATAGAGATTTCAGTGTTGTCATATTATAAGTTAAACGATTATATTATCTGTCATCTGGGAACATTTAAACTCTTTCAATGAAAAATGAGTTTCGATTAATACTGTAGTTCTTAATAATTTTCCTTATTTTCGTGAAAATTGTTGACAGACTCTTTTTAGGCGGCTGTGTACAATGAATTTTCGGATAAACCGTTCAAAGGCCTATTCGCTGCGGGAGAAGTTACAGGTGGTGTGCATGGTCGTAATAGGTTGGCTGGGAATTCATTGCTCGAATGCGTTGTTTATGGACGTATAGCTGGACGTAGTGCAGCAAATGTACGTTATTCACCTTCTGACGTAATGCTAACACGCACTGATTTATAAAACATTTATTATGGGATTTTAATTGATAAGTTGAAGGAGGTCTGGAATTCAATTTATTCATTTTTGATTTTAATGTGATTTGCAAAACATTGTGATATTACGTCTATGGATCATTTTATTAGGATCATTTTATTATTTTATCAGATTTTTTTATGACTTCTTGCTTCCCTTTATTTTCAGTTGTTTTGTTGACCTTATTAGGTTAAAATTTGGTCTTTTGATACATGTTTTCTACTGTGCTTCAAAATATTATGAAATCACTTGTGACAGAATGAATCATCTTTTCGGCATTGGCGCAGATTGAAATTTATTATGTGCTATGCGAATTTACCGTTACATGATGCATGCATAGTTTTGCTATCCAGCATGTTTTATTTGTCTTACATAATTTGTAATTGTTTTATGATCATATTATCGTTTATCTTATGTAAGTCTTACGTAAAATTTTCTAATATATTTGCTTGTAAATGTTACTACCAATGTAGATATCAATCACAGTTATTTGTTTCGGTTTGTTTAAGTTGCGGAATTTCGGAGTTCTTTTTATTTAAAAAATAAATTCAATACATTTTATCTCTGTAAATTTGTGATTTATACTTGTTCATTATATGAAAGAGTACAATATCTGAACCAGCAAAGCTAATTTTTATACCACTTCTGTTGATTTCATTAATTTCTCTTACTATAATTTGTTGTCATTTCTGATGTCATGGAATTTCATGCTTAACTGGATAGTATATATACTGATTGCAATACTTTTTCAATTTTCTACCTTTCACGAAAGATTGAACTATAGCTATAATTAAATTTGAAAATTATGATGCAGGCTATTGTTCAACTTTAGACCACATAATGCTTGGGTAAGTTTCGCTTTCATGTGATTGCATGTTTCCTATAACTCTTGACAGTTGTGGCAGTCATGGTTTGGCAGGAAATAAGTTCTTTCTTCCCGTTTGATGCTTTTGTTTAATTACAAAAATATGTCAAACAATGTGTGTAATCTTTCCTATTGCAATTCTATGCATACAATCATATATTATTGCATTTTAAGAAATATTTTCTCTTTTCACGCAAAAGAATTCCAATTCTAATGTGTCAGATTAATCACACAACCGAATTGTTCCAGTTTCGGTATTGTCCAAATGAACCGAAAAATACGCTTCATTGCTACTTCACTTGTTAACAGTGATATCAGTTATCATTTAATGCAATTTAATTAAATAAATATGAATGGTAAATGAAAATATCCAACAATTACATCATTGCCCTTCGATGGACATGTGTTGTCGGGAGATGTAAAATTCGCCACTGTTTGAATGCGCGCCTTAACTTATTTGATGGTCTCCTTATAACAGCATGGTTGGAATGGCTTGGGATGCGTGCGCGTAATGATGAATGGGTGGTCGCGTCGCGGATGGCGACGAGTGTGTGTTCCGATTTATTCCGGTGGGGTTGGGTGGAGGTCTGGGAGTTGGTGTGTGTGTATGTGTGTGTGTTTTTGTGTGTTTTTGATCGGTGGTGCGGTACCGCGGGCTTTAACTGGTAGTATTCGATTGCGGGTATCATCATTTGACAATATAGGTAGTTAACAATACATAATAGCTAGTTGTTAGTTGCTAAGTGAATTTTAATCGAAAGATTCACGTATGTTAGTGGATGATGTTTGTGTAGTTGTTTGATCATTGATGAAGACAGCTAATTATTGAAGGATTAGATTGTTAGTATTAAGTAAGCCCTGATACCATAGTTGGTGGTTTGCTTGTCACTGGTTTTAGTATCATTCCAGATCGGGGCTGTTTGGAAAGGTTCTATCGTCGTATATTTTTTTTTTCGTCAGGCAGTAGTTTGAATTCCATTGATGGCTGTTGTCGCGGCATGTCTACAGGCATAATCTCTACCGACGCTATCCAGGACGCATTGCAACGCGCTAAAGAGGTATGTTAATTTTTTGTTTTAAATATTTGAAAAAAAAAAATTCAAGATTGCATTTAATGAAGTGCAGTGTTATGCATTCCGTAATAAATCGTATAAAATTCTTACTATTTTATTACTTACTATTATTATTTTGGTTAATTTTCTGCATAAGTTTTTGTGTTATTTTTCTCATCTAGGTCAGTTTTTTCCGTGTCCGTTTTTTTTTTTTTTTGGGAGATGATTAGGCAAGATTGAATTCAAAAATCACTGCATGAATTGCCATTATTACTCTCATGTGGTACTATTAGCGATGAAGTTGAAATATTTGCATATGTAACAAATGCGTTGTTACAAACGTTTTGTTGGTTGGAAGTATAATAATGCATTTGAATAGGACAAGTTTGAAGACCTCTTTTCTCCTTATATGCTGTAAATATGGGAGTGTGGATGTCACTTCAAGGATGTTATTGCTTAGGTTTAGAAAAAGAGAAATGATTGTTGTTGTTTCTGAGTTCATATCAGTTTCTGCACTTAATATAGACAGTAATCTTTTTCAAACTTCACTTAGATTTATATTTTTGCGTATTTTCTTGAAATTGATTTTGATAAGAGTACAGAATTACCGTCAAATTCTGTTTTGTTAATTGGAATACTGAATTATACATATATTTATATATTTATATATGCCGAACAAACATCACTTCTTCTATGTGAAAAAAGAATGTTAAAACTTTGATTTTACTTCACCTCGGACTGCTTCGAAAAGTCCTTCACTTGAAGATATAGTGTTCTCTGTGCTTTTATAATACGGTACGGTTATATTGACTCACTGAAAAAGATTAACATCCAAAGTTATGCCATCAAATTTGACTGAATGCCTTCTGCATAATGATGATGATGCCATTTGGTTTTGGAAATATGTTGTCTGGAATGAAATAAAAACTAATTGCCATATGTGCAGTATTTCGATTTTTATCGTAAGTTTGATGTTACGTGATATTTTTTTATTTTTTTAAGAAGAAGATGTTTATTTATAAATTCATGGTATCATAAGTGATAATTGATTGTACATGCATTTATAGTATATGTTCATATTTTGCTTGTTATGTTTAGCTCGCTGCTTCTTCACATTCGAATCCGCAGAAACGACCGAATTCGGACGATTCATCTAACCGTACGTACCAGTGATTCATTTGTTATTTTGCATATTATACGTAAATGTTATGGGAGAAGTGAAATGATGCGTTAAACAGTCACACTTTCATGTTAGGAAGTTATTGCGTTGAGACGTTCCGTTTTTGATCGGTGTAGTACGCGTGTATACGGTATTTCATTCGCAATTTATGGATTTTTTTTAAAGTGAAGCCTTCAATTTTCATAAATACGTACATAAATCGATAACGGTTTTTCTATGGATTTTCGTTGTTGATGTGAATTATTTCGATTAATTTTCAAACGACTCATTTCCAACTTGTCAATTTTATCAGTGCGGTTGTGCATTTCATTTAAAACTCCATATTTGCGATGCGTATATTATATTTTTGGTGTTTTGCATGCATAATATACAAAGATAAAGTAATTGAAATTTAATATAAAATGGTGCTGATATTTCTAGGATAGAAAGACATTTGCAAATTTTTCAGTGTATCCAACCAAAAGGGTCAATATCACTGGAAACACAATGGACATGGGCGGAAGCATGCAAATCTCAACACTGGGGGGTCCGGGCCATGTTGGGGCAGGAGGTATGCCGCCAGTCGGAGGTGTCGGAGAAGTTGTTATGGAAACAATGGAGGTTCCGGACCATTGTGTTGGCCTCGGTAATGGTAGTTGCTTTGCTGTAGTTTTGCGCTCATTTATTTTTTTTTTGTTCTTAAATTAGCTCAACTTACTTCTTTTCTGATCTAGACAATGGATTTGGCCAATTAACTTCATTAATTGCAAGGAGTACGTGAGATTTTTTGTAGTGATTGGCCGTGGCGGTGAGCAAATATCACAGATTCAATCACAGACGAACTGTCGCGTACAAATGTCACCAGAATCGGACGGGAATAACATGCGTCAGTGCACTTTACAAGGCAGTAAAATGTCTGTAGATCGCGCAAGAGCAATGATAAATGAGGTTGATCCTTGCTCCTTATTACTATTTCCTTTTAATGTTAATGATGGAAAAATTTGGCTAGCCAATTATTTGATACGAGTGTTACGCCAGTTTTCACTCCTGTTCACTCTATTATTTCATTTTTTTCTACAAATGCACGTGAATGTGCATTTATAGAAAAAGTTTATAAGATTTTATGCTTTTATTTTGTTCCTGAAATTTGTCGGTTTTTCTTGTATAGATTATTCTTTAGACTACATCTTTTACTATTATTGTTTAGCTTTTTTCTTATGTAAAAAGTTTCATCTCTCTCTCTGTGTATTCATCTTTTTTGGTTGAAGGACTTGTTACGACGAAAATTACGACGCAGAAACAGCGCATTTGTGAATTGAAATTTTTATCTGTTTTCAGGTGATAGCTCGAGCAGGAAATCGTCCTCCACCGAATCGTGCAAGCCACTTTGACGGTATACCTGTTGGCACTGGGCGTCAGATAACTCAAGAGATGTTTATTCCTGGTGCAAAATGTGGCCTCGTTATTGGAAAGGGAGGAGAAACAATAAAGAATATTCAAGCACGTCAATATATTTAATACTGTTCATCTTATCTCTTCACTTCAGCGAAGAATTAATTATCAGATATTTTGTTTGAAGTTCAGGCTTGCACTTCTGCTACTTGTTAGCATGCTTTAGGAACAAACTGGTGTCAAAATGGTAATGATACAAGAGAATCAAGAAAGCGGAGGACAGCCAAAACCTTTACGTATTACTGGTGATCCTGAAAAAGTTGAGAATGCTCGAAGAATGGTTGAAGAAATTTTGCAGTCACGTGAGGATCATCCACCTGGGCATTTCGGTTTCCCTGGATCCTTTGGAATAGGTGGTGGACAGCGATCGATTGGTGAAGTAAGTTCTTTGTTTTCCTGTTTTCGTCATAGGGATTGCATGAAGTTAATAGTGAGACAACACCAGTATATTTTACCGACA